AACTGTTTTGGGTTTGATCATAAACTGTAAAATGCCATGTTTTGGGTCCCTCTTCAACATTATTGAAGGGCCCTCTTATGTTTTGGGCCAGCAGCTGTGACTTGCTTCTTTATCTCACATTTAGGGCCATTTTTGCATATCGGTTTAGCCTTATTTGTGTTCATTTTTTGGCCTTGCTTAAAACTGTAAATATGCTTGTTTTGGGACTGCCTTGAATCTGTATTCATGCTTCATGATCAAATAGTGCATGCTTTGTATAGCTATAGGCCATTGCGTGTGCCTAGTTTTGCATTTGGGGTCTCATTTCATGCATCGGGTACCATATCGCCATGTTTCGGGGTTGTTTTGCATCATGTTTTGCTACTGAAATTTGCATGCTAGTATGCCATATTCCATGCCTTGCCATGTCTTGTTAGAGTGGCATTTGGTGCCTTAGGATCGGTCCTCGGTTTGCGTGCACGCGAGCACGCATCTCGAGTATCTCATTTTCATCTAATGGCCTCTTATGTGAGTGTGGATGAGGTCCACTTGTGTTAGTGTAAGTCCATTTATGCATTGTGTATGCCATTTCATTTCATAGCATTGTGTATGCTAGGTTGTATGTTAGCACATTGTGTATGCCATGTTACCTCGTGCATCGTGTATGCCATTTCATAGCATCGTGCATGCTAGGTTGTATCTTAGTTGCATTCATGCATGTCATGCATATTGCATTGTGCTTGGGATAGGAGTTAGCCCGAGCACGGGAAACGAGATACGTTTCGTACTCCGAGTGACGGAACGTGTCTCAATTCCCAGTCGCCGACACTCTGGATTATCCATGATGGAGTCTAGGTTTTGTTGTGTTTTCATGTGCATTCATTCCATATTGAGTTGTGCAATTCGACTCCTCGGCCATCATGCATCGAGATGCGTGATTAGTGGCATGAGGACCGAGGCATGCATACATTTGTGAAAATACATTGCCATGCCCTTTTCCTGCTCTCTGTTGTAGTAAATCAAGAATCAACAGTCTTTCGGGGCTTGGCGCGCTTTCCAAGAAATCATTGCAAAACAGAGGCTAATTGGGGCATCGCAGTGGATTTTCGTGCAAGGCAACCCGAGCATGCATCATTCATCATCCAGAGCGGAGTCAAGGCAGTCCCTAGCTTGCATGCTAGTTTACAGCTTACTAAATGTGTCGATTCCCATCTCTTTCATTGATCATGGTAAACCTCATTCTTCTAGACTTGAGATGAAAGAGCTCAGCAACACTCAACAATCTCCAAAAATCATAGAATTAACATATCATCTCTTATATCACACCTCTAAGTAGGATTAATCATTGATTGGATTCACCACAGAACTGTTATGGTTCTTGAATAAATGCAATTAAGAACACAATCCCAATCCTACTGCACTCAAGGAAGTGCAAGTGTGTTTCCTTTTCAGATATCTTTCAAATTACAATGATTTACTTTATGAAGTATAAGCAAGTATGTTCTTTCTATAAGAAAAAACACAAATAAATGAGTCAAAATGAAGAGAAAACCTCAAAAAATAAATAAACAAATAAAAGGGAAGGAAGAGAGCAGTTACAGAACTAGATGGTCTGGTCAGAAATATCTCAAGAAGCTTTACTCATCCCGTTGAGAATTACTCATCCCTGTTGAGAATAACAATTGTTACAACAACGATAAAAAGAAACTTTGAAGTAGTCAAATGAAATGAATCTAGAACAACATTCGGAACAAGCAAAGGTAGAAATCTATGCATTAGAAAATAATGAACACTTAACTGATTCATACAATTGGAGTGTGATCTATTCAGTTTTACACCTGTACATATGTTCTCCCCTAACAAATTGAAACAAATGCTAGTTATGAAAACTATATAAGTGCTGCAGCCTGCAGGTGCTTTCCAATCCTCAATTAGTGCTACGTAATGTGAAGTTAAAATTGTAATTCAAACCATCAAATCCAAATAAACTTGGTGAAGAAACACACACACACACACACACACACACACACACACACACACACACAAATTAAATTATTGGTTTCTCCCAAATAATTTGTTGTGATGTGCTCTAAGTAGCACTGACACGTGACAAGGGCATAGCTTTGATACAAGGCCACATTGATTTTCAAAAAATGCACGACACGATATGTCTGGAACATTTTTAAAAATTATACTTTTATAAATTTATTATATGTCAACTATGTGAATAGCTTATTCAGAGGTTATGAAAAAAAACAAAATAACACTAATTAAAATTAAAAGGTTATAAATTTCATAACCTAAAAACATCAATATATCAATCACATGACAATTAATTGCAATATAAAGTTCAGATTAAGAACCGTGACATTTGAGAGTCCTGAACTGTAGTGAGTCCAATATCGAACGGAACGGGGGGAGCTCGTTCCTCCCCGGGGCGTTCGGGGACATCTACACACACATGTTGTCAAAGTAATCAGGACACCATCCAGTATACCAATTACACTAAAATAATATCCACGAACTGAAATTACAAGTGCATAACCACCAATCAAACATTTCGCAAATGCACTATAATTTAAACTATTCCTTGGCACTTTTAACTCAATATTTTAATTTAAAAATCAAAAAATCATTAAAAAAATCAAAAAAAATCAACAACTTATAACAACTTAAAAAAAAAAGAAAAAAAAGGTCAAATATTGTTTTTTCTCTATACTTTTCGTACATTTTTCTGTAAAAAGTCAACAAATGATCCCAAATATAATTTTTTTACCTTATATTTTTGTCAAAAAATAAAAAAAAAAATACTAAAATAGCATGTTAGGCAGAAAGTTACATATAACTCTAAAACAGGGAAAATTACTAACTCCAGTGTTTCTGAAATTTTAAAAATTAGAGTTCTAAAAGGAACGAAATGCTCAAGGATTGCTTGCGCATGTTTACATTATCTCCATAGGGAAGAAACTGAAAAATAAAATAAAATAAATTGATGCATAAATAAATGTAATTTGGTGACACCTATAACAGAAAATTGTCGATCATATGTTGTATCACATCAGCTCCGGCGGAATTCACACAGTAAGTTTTTACCTGCACGAGCAGAACAAAAGAAAAAGGTCACTCATTAGAAATGTTGATACTACTATCTTTCCCAAACAAGAAGAGACGATAAACTACTTTCTTTCTCTTTTATCTCACTCTTATACTATCCAAACAAGAAGAAGATAAACTAGTACTACTATCATTTCTTTGTTTACTTCTCTCCTATTTTGCCAAATGGACTGAAATCTGATTGTGCTGGCCCTCTTTTATCTGGAGGGGAATTCAAACTAGAGAGTTCCAATCCATTTCAAGAGGTTGACCTCCAAACCGCATTTTACTCATTGAGGTTATTATGTTGTTCCTTGATTCTGTAGTTAAAGTAAAGAGAAAGAAGAAACTTGCCTGAATAGTACTGTGCGCCAAAAGTCTTTGTTTAGTTCCACTGAAGTCAATATCAACCCTTTCCCAGCTCCAATCAATCAATACATAACGTTAATGTATTCTATCAACTGTCATACTCTATGACACATCCAATTGATTAGTTTTAGTTTGCCTAATCAACACGCATTGTCTACAACAATCACGACTACCTGTGTGAAAATTAGGGAATAATCAAGAATAAATATTTTACTTACATATAGAGCTCAGAATAATTCGACAATCTGAAATGATGGTAATGAAATCATATTGAACTTCAAATCCTCAAGAGCATAATGAAAATTTCATTTACTTGTATAAAGTTCTTCACCAAATAACTGTTCTAGAACTTCTAGTATTACCTCTTCAATTTCTCTTTTCCATTTTCTTTCCACTTGCTATAACAAATCAGGTTGTGTGTGTTGTGTGTGTGTGTGTGTTTTTCTTCCAGTTTTGACTAAACCAAGACATGCTAGTTCGAAGCCCAACCTTGTTTCACACTGAAATTCATTTTCAGTTATTTCATTCTTTTCACCAACTGGTATATGCTAGAACAGTCTGTATGCTTGGAAATTGAGCTAGCCCGATACACCTAAAATAATCCGGTACAAGCCAGAAAATTAACTGGAACTGTGTTGAGTCTCCATTATTCCAGTTTCCTGTTAAAATGGTATGTACCAGCTGGTACAACATGGTGTTGAGCGGGATTCACAATATTGCCAGTAACTTTCTACTCTCTTTCACAATTCCAGAAAAACTAAATATACAAGTGAAATCTACATTTAAAATGAAGGAAAAACCTTTTTTATTTTAATTTTTAACTTGGTTTTTTAATGGGAAGTAATGGTTCTTGAATCTTGTAAGATTAGTGCTGTAGAACATGAATAACATTGACAAAAATTTGGTAACTAACCTTCCATATCAATGGTCTTGCATACATTGACTTGGCCCTCTAAAGACATTTCTTCTTGAGTATTCACAGGTTTTGCTAACTCCACATTTATGACATGCGGGTATTTGTCAATTCTTGACAGATTTTGACGCTGAAAAAAAAAGAAAGAAAAAAAAGTAAGAACATTTGGAAACACAATTCTTAAGCTCCATAAAGATTAAGAATTACCTTTGGGAGCTCACTTCGACGCCGCAGTGATGATGTACTCCATCCAGCAAGATCTAAGAGGAAGTGTTAAGTTCTTCACATAAATTAGAGGATTTCAAAAAGAAGAAAATTGGAACAGCCTAACTAGTTTTTCATGTATTGCTTGAGCATATGTTTAAATGTCCTGACATTTTATCTCCAAATATTTTCCTACATAAACAAGTAAAAAATAATAAACAAATGTATATAGTATGGCAGGATACGATCATATCGTGCATTAGCGTAGGCAACCCGATGCCTAAAGGACCGTAGAGTAGATCTGCAGAGACAAGACAAGGAGTCAAGATAGGTTCTATATCATTTGTAGTCACAAAGAAACATTTGTTTGACTTCTGATCAGAATCTATTAAATTCATGAGGGCTCACATAAATGGAAGATCATCAGTATCGTTGGCCATCTGAAGTAAAATAGGAGGTTTTTCATTATCACCATCTCTCAAGAATAAATGTTTCCCTATTCTTCCAAGCAATGATGATGCATGAGCAGCTACTTTCTCCAGGGAATAAAAGCCGCAAAATGAAAATATATCCTAAAAGAAGAATGATATACATACATCCTAAAAAAATAAAAATAAAAATAGAAATAGAAACTCGCGGTTCTCAGCATGTAACAAAATCCAAATGAATTACCAACACCAAACGAAGATTTATAAAAATAAAAACTAATGAAAAGAAAAATAGTGTTCTGCAATAAGGATTCAAAAACCAAATTCATAAATCTATTAGATGTCATGACTGCCACATTCAAATGCTCAGATCAAAATTGTCCACATATATTTGTTTTTGTGAGAATCCAAATATTCAACATCATCAAATCTTGATAAGAAATAGAGAGAAAAATAATAAAGAGGGATTCAGGACTAATACAAAGCCCAATACAGTAATCATCTTCCGATATCAAGATCAAAACTTATGAACATCATAATCACCAGTTACAAACCTTCAAAAACAAAAACAAAAATAGAAAATAAATTTATAAAAATGATATTTTATAATTTGAGAGTGAAACAAATAAGACCATTAAGCAACTGACAGACTGACCATCCAATCTCTTACAATACAAAGAAGAAGAAACAGAAAACCCAATTGAGATTATTACCCAAATCTGATGAATCTTTAGGTCCAAAGAAGAGAGAGAAGAGTCAAAATCAAAAACAAACCACTCCAAAAGTCGATACTATTCAAATGAAAAAACAAAGACAACCCACAAAGAAAAAAAAGCCCCCAAAACATCCCAGGAATTTATAGACAGTTGATCTGGTGACTTGTGAGTCCACAAGATCCTCAATAGTAATTTCATTTTCCAAAACACTAAACAACAATTAAACACAAAATCAAACATTATTACAACAATATAATATCTCAGACATAAAAGCTGCTAACATTTTGAGCTGAAAACGGAAACCAGATCCATGAAGAGGATATTAAAATGAAAAAATTGAAAGGATTTGGATTTGGATGAACTTACCATTCAAGCAAGCACGCATGTCACCAACTCCAAATCAATACCAACCAAGGATATAACCACCACCACCATCACCAATTCAGTATACCCAATTACCAATATTTTCTGTTTGTTTCTCGGGAAAGTAAAGAAAGAGAGAAAAAACTTGCTAATTGAAGAGAGAGACAGAGAGAGAGAGAGCGCGTCAAAGAGAAAAGAATGTGAATTTGAGAAGGACAAAGAAAGGTGAATGTAAGAAGAAAGCAGAAGAAAGCAAAAGAAAGAATTTCCTCATTTTTTTTGTAGTTAATGAAAAAAATTTCATTTTTTTTAAGTTACTAAGATTGAAAATTTATTTGTTTCATTTTTATTTTAATTAAAAAAATTATTATTATTATTTTTTATTTGGTAGAAGTAGGGGTAATATTTTAATAAAAAAAATTCACTAAAATAAAAGTTAATTTCTATGGTCAATGAAAAATATTTTTCTACGGCCTATTTTTTTTTGTTACTAAAAATCATGAACTATTTTTTTGTGGTCGAGGAAAGGGAGCGACATTAGTGGTGGAGGTGGTGGATAAGAGATGATGGTGGTGGTGGTAGTGATGGTGAAAGATATTAGTGGTGAAGTTGTGGTAGTGGTAGTGTAGATGGAGTGGCAGGGGTGAAGGAGAGGTAATGGTCAACTGGAAAATACTTATGGTAGTGGAGTGGTGAATTTAAGAGTAGTAATGGTAGTCGTAGAGATGAAGTGACGACAGTGGAAGTAGTGGTGGTGGTGGAATGACGTTTGCAGTAGTGGTGAAGGTGGTAGAGGAGATGGGTGGTGAGAGAGAGATGAATGAGAGACGGATAGAAGAGAGAGAGAGAGACAAAGTGGTTGCTAAAAGTACATTTTCTTGTAGTGGATCGATAAATCGAGAGGGAGCTCAATAAATAGAGAAGACGAGAGGGAGACAGTGAGCAACGCAAACACGGTGGGAGAGAGAGAGAGACAAAAAAAGAAAGAGACAGAGAGTGAGAGACAGAAAAGAGACAGAGAGAAAAGAGAGATGGACGAAAGAGATAGAGAGACAGAGAGAGAAAAAAGATGAACGAGAGAGACAGAGAGAGATGAGAGAGATAGAGAGAAGAGAGATGAGCGAAAGAGACAGAGAGAGAAAAGAGATGAGAGAAGAGATAGATGAGTGGGAGACACAGAGAGAGAGAGAGACAGATAGACAGAAAGAAAAGAGTGATGAGTGAGAGAGAGAAAGAGAAGAGAGAGAGAGGAAGATGAAAAAATATGTGAAAAGATATAGACAAAGAGGGAGAGAGAAAAAAAGAGCGAAAAGAGATAAACGAGAGAGAGACAGAGAAAGATGAGCGAGAGCAATAAAGAGAAGAGAGATAGAGAAGAGAGACAGAGAGAGAAGAGAGACGAGAGAGATAGACAGAAGAGAGATGGACGAGAGACACAGAGAGAAAGAGAGAGAGACAAAAAGACAGACAGAGAAGAGTGATGAGTAAAAGAGAGAAAAATAAGAGAAACAAAGACACAGAGAGAAAGAGAGAGACAGACAGACAGAGAAGAGTGATGAGTGAGAGAGAGAGAGAGAAGAGAGGAGAGACAGAGAGATAGAAAGATGAAAAAATGGGTGAAAAAGTTTCGTGTCTAAAGCCTCCTTTTCTAGTAGTGGATCATTCATGGGTAGAATAGAGGTGCGGATTTGGGAATTGTATATTTTATATAAAAATCAAATTGAAATATTTTATACAATCACACCTATTTAGGGAGTGTGATTAAAAAGTAGTAATGTATATATAATCACGCTTTAATTAAAATGTGTGATTAAAAAATATATATATAATCACACTTATTTAAAAAGTGTGATTAAAAAGTAGTAGTGTATATATAATCACACTTTAATTAGAAAGTGTGATTAAAAAATATATAAAAACCACACTTTAATTAGAATGTGTGGTAAAAAATATATATATATATATATAATCACACTTATTTAAAAAGTGTGATTAAAAAGTAGTAGTGTATATATAATCACACTTTAATTAGAAAGTGTAATTAAAAAATATATAAATAATCACACTTTAATTAGAATGCGTGGTTAAAAAATATCTATATAATCACACTGATTAAAAAGTAGTAGTGTATATATAATCACACTTTAATTAGAAGGTGTGATTAAAAATATATATATATAATCACACTTAATTGAAAAGTGACATAAAAAATAAATATTATCACACTCAATCAAATTAAGTGTGATTAAAATATCAATCTAATTTTTTTTATCACACTTCCAATAAAAGTGAAATCTTTTTTTTTGTCAAAGTGTGATCTTTAACTATTCTTGTAGTAGTGAGTTACAGAAAGGTGGAGAAGGAAATTTCAATAAAGAATATGATATACAAGCCCACTTTCTGAACCAAATGATATATAAGTGAGATAATTGATTGATGATTAGAGAAGATATGAGAAAAAATGTTATCTTATATATTTAATTAATTAGCATATCATTTAAAAATTAAATTTAATTTTTAGACTTGAATAACAATGTCCTTTTAGTAATTACCACAATGAATTTCACCCATTTATAATTGTTATTTTTGATTCCCCACTAAATTGTAAACAATTGCCCCAACTCTATTTTACAAGTGCACTTTTTTTCCCCACCAAATGTATATTATAAATTCAATAAAGATAATGTAATTCAAATTCAACTTTATATGATGAAAAATATAACTTAAATGAATCTAGGGTATACATAAATATTTTTTTTATGCACAAATTTTATGTAAGTAACATTGTTGTTATAAATATCATGTATATATCTAAAATTGATTATACTGAGAACTCATTATTTTATGAATTTCATATGTAAATTTAGCTTCCGTTGTCCACTATTTTATCATAACACAATTATCAAACTAGTATTCAATTCTATTACTATCAACACCATCACCGCCACAACGAAACCAGACCATTATCACAAGATAAAAGAGTAATTTAAGAATAGCAAATTTCAATTTGTAACTTTTTTTTACCTATTAAACAACTTCAATTAAATTCAATACTTAAATTTTAATAAATATCAACAAATTTTTAAAGATTTAAAAATTCAATATTTAATTAAAAAAATATTTGAGACTCTAAAAAAGTACCCACAATGACGTGATAAAATATGTATCAATTTTTAATTTATTATATACGTAATGATGACATATAAATTTATGAATATGAATGTATAAGTCAGTAACGCTACTGAATTTAATTTTCACTTTTGAAATTTCAAATTTCAATTTTATTCAAGAGCATGGAAGTTCCTAAACAACCCGGGTAGGAGTAAAAGAACCCGTTTCGCAGTGAACCGGTGTTCCTCGTTAAACTTCAACCGAAGTTGGGGGTTTTGACGCTGCTTGTGATTGTTTTTGTTTGTTCTCTTCGTTGAGACCGTGTTTGATCCGAAAATGCCTGTGAGAGTTGTTGATAGTTCGGCCCCTTCTCAGGTTTCAGGTATCGAAACAATTCACAAACTCATTCATTCTTCGATTACTTATTCGTAATTTTTTTTTTTTTTTTTTTTTTTTTTTTTTTTAAGTCCCTAAAATTTAAGGCATTTTATGTGCATATGTTTTGTATGATCTGAATCCAAACATTGATTTTCCATTAATCGTAGGCATACCACTGATTAAAGCGCTGTTTTGGGTTAGTTTCATTGGTAGATTCTGTGTATTTGCTGAATTCTTTATATAATTTTTCTCGGTTGCTTTGGAGGTATGTGTTGGTCGCTGAGAAATTGGACAAAGGTGAGGAAAGTGAAAATCAGCCCAGTCAGGTAGTTATGTGTTCAGATTTCAGACAATAATTTAACCCAATAAGCTAAAATGGTAGTAAATCTTTACTTATTTATTTTAAATGAAAGTATGAACTGAACTGTGCAGCAGATGCTGCCTTTTGGACACACAACTGTAAATAAAAGACCTTTGAATTTTTACTAAGACCTTCGTTTGCCATTTTGTTGTTTTGAAAGACAGAACAAGCAACTTAAATAACATATTCAGACTATTATTCAGCACAACTACAATTTTTGTCCTTGCGAGTGTTGGGTATTGTGGAACCCAATAAGTACTGATCATTGGGCCTTTGATCCAATGGGGGGTTCGGGAGCCTTCTCTGTGAGTTGGGCCCTGCCCGAATTTTTTTGATATTTTGGTAATTTTTCTATTGCTTCCTTGTTGCCCTAATTTATATTTTTGTATAGATGAGGGGTGTCTCTTGTATTGTAGAAGAGAGTTGTAATCATTTTCAGATCGTAGTGAAACTGCATCTGTCATGACCCAAACCTGCCCCTGAAAGTTTGGACATGATCCGCTGACCTTTAGGCCTCAATTTCAAACCATCATAAAGTTTACTTAATATCGGGGCCGAAACAGAAGCAAAATAATAGAAGAATAAAACATTCATTGAGCTGTGTCTAAATGCCAGGATCTTATCGCATCAGCGTACGTATATAACATTCCATGCACCATTCACATTACCAAGTGTAAAAGGAAAACAACCCAAAGTGCTTAGTGTTGTTAACATCTACATACATATCTATTTTCCCCAGTTTGTAACAAAACACGCCATCAGAGGGGCTTGCCAAAATAAAACAAGGAGTCACTTCGGTTGACTCAGCAAAACGGGTTCAGCAACAGGCTTCTGGGCTGACCTAAGGTTGACCCGCAAGTTGGTTACCTACAAACATTCAGGAAAGTAGAGTGAGCAAGGCTCAGTGAGTGATAGCAGTACAAACAAATTAAAAGTACGAGCATAGGTTAACAGTGCATATTCACAAATCATAGTCTCATTCGTTTTTCCTTTTCTGAATGGCCTCAGGGCCACATAAGACAAAATGGCCTTAGGCCCAACATAATACAGAACGGCCTTAGGCCAATCGTAGTACAAAACGGCCTTAGGCCCATCGTATCAGCAAACAGAACGACTTCGAGTCCATATCTCACATGTCAAAGTTCAAACATATATCAGACATATCGCACATAACATAAGGTATTCACTAAAAGTTAATAAGATCTCAAATAACAAGTACCAACACAAAACGTGAATAGTGCATGATATTACGCTACTATCACTCACTGTGATACGGGTGAACGATGGTCCCCTCTTGTAGATGCCCTACACATAGCACATAACTTGTAAGTACATCAAGTATACTGTTTTTCCTTAATTTTCTTTTATTTCTCAAATGTCCAATTCGTTAAGTTACGTGTAATTAAACGTATCAAAGAAACATTAAACGGACATTTGGAGAATTAAATAGAACAAAAGAAGGTTGCAGAATTTTTCCGGCTTGGGCCGCACGTGCCTTTTTAGCAGTGTAGTCCCACTCCTCACCCCTGTTTTCCGCACGTGCGGCTGTGAGCCCCGCACGTGCGGTCATGCCTCCCGCACGTGCGGTCGTTTACCCTATTTTTCTGCCCGAAACTTCAACAATTCTAAGTTCACAAGAGGTAGCCACATAGCCAAAATCAAGGTAGATTTACACTAAAAACATAGCATATAAACATGTAATTCTAGCTCTTTGGCCTTTAGCCAAAATCAAGGTAGATTTACACTAAAAACATAGCATATAAACATGTAATTCTAGCTCTTTGGCCTTTACACCTCAGAATTTCTATGTTTCCCTCACTCTCACTATGTAGATATATATGTACAAATGCCTAGCTATTCATTTATATGAATTCAAGCATACAAAAGAGTGAGATTAGGCAAAACATAGAGAGATCAAGTGATTGAGTTTCCCATCATACACATTCAAGAGGTACATGGTCATTTATGAGATTCAATTATTCCCGATCATAACCCTAGCTTTCATGGAGGGAAGATACTTCAATTCAAAGCTTAATTCAAACCAATTGAAGAGGAATTGAGAGTTTACTTATGATCTATACTCACCTTAAGTTGGATTCTTCAATTGTTTTCCCTAGCAAGGTCTTCAATCTCCAATTCTTGTTGACTTCCCTCTTCTTCAAGCTTCTCTAGATTTTCCACTCAGCATATATATAAAGAGATGAATTCAAAAAAAAGGACTTATATAACACATACATATATGTCTTTAACTTCCGTGCTTGCCAAACAAGCCTTAGCGATTCAGACGAAATAGATTTTCAATTAAATTTTCCAAATGGTTCTAAAAATTCCCATTAGCATGTTCCCACACTCAATTTCAATTTATCGCGCCTCTACGGCTTATATTTCCAAGTTTAAACGTCCTAATTTGACAGATGTTTTCCAATAACCAACAGATAGAAAACATGATCAAATAATTCACACATATAAGCACAACTCTGTATGGAACTTCACATTGAATAAGTAAGTATTCAGGTAACTAAAACAAAATGTAACGCATATAAGAGGGTCAGGTTATGACAGCATCACGGAGCCTTATTCTGGGGGTGAATCACGTAAATCCTTGTGTTTTTGTGTGTGTGATTGATTTGGTTCGATTCGATTTGATTTCTCTTGCTTGTTTGTTATTGTGTTTCACCGATCATGGTTAGGGATTGCACAATGAGTGGAAACAAAATCGCACTGTAACACCCTAAAGTTGTAGGTCCTGGCCCACCCCTCTTTCCTTGTATTTTTTGGGCATTGAAGTAGCTCTCATGGGTTTAGGACTTTAGGAAACATTTCACATTTTTTGTGAAGAGACAACTATTTTGATTTAATTGTGGCAATATAATCTCTTAAGTGCATGCTAGATTGGTAAATTTAGGCCTTTTGTCAACTGCCTTTGCCGTTCTATTCTTATTTTCATTAATTTATAGATGCATCATGTGTAGGGTGGAAAAAGAAAGAGCCAGCCTTTGATTAACAACTAGTGTCAGCTACTATGTTTTCTGTATATGCTCTATGCGAAATTCCTTTTCTCCAAACCATCATTCCCTTAGGTTGTGTTTGAATATAGGATTTGGGGATGGAAAGGAAAAGTAAAGGGAAAAGTGACAAATTTAGCTGATATTTCTTTCACATTTCTCTTCATTTTTACTTTCCGTCCACAAATCCCTCTCCAAGTTCAAGATCCAAACACATTAAATTTGAAGAGAGATTTGTGGAGGGAAAAAAAATTGGGAAATAGAATTTAATGTTTTTCTCACAAATCCTTTCCCTTTTCTTTTCCTTACACAAACCCCTTCACAATTCAAGATCCAAACACAGCCTAACTGATACAACATGGATGAGATGAGACATTCTTGTTTAAGTTTCTCATAAATAAGTTGCCACATTATTTGTTTTTCGTAGTTTGACAAATGTCTCCTCCGCCAATTGCATTCAGTTACTCTGTTACAGGATACAATGACAGAAGGAATACACATTTTCTTCACTCAGTAGAGGTTTATCAGCGTCATTCACTAAATCAAAATAGAGTTCCAGTCCTTCAGCTGAATCTTTTTGTTTTATACTATATGGTTTTGTGTACCAATTCACCTGTTGAAATCCTAATGGTTGAAGACTCTTATCTTCTTTGAACCAAAGTAGCGGCTGTATGAATCACATTCTTGTCATTTACTTTGTCTAATTTTTTTATTTTTTATTTCTTTCTTCCTCATGTATGCACAAGTATGGAAGAAAAAGGACAAGGAAATTAAGAGTAATATCACATAAAACTTGATGCATTCACCTGCAACATAATCTTAGTACCACATGCATGCAAATAGGTTGAATATGCTTGTCATTGCACCTCAGCTCATGCCTTCTAATACGATCAATATGTTCCATGATTTCAGGGTCTTTACAAGCCCAACTGTGTATTGTTTTAAGTTCCAATTAAATTTCATGATTTTAAAATGATATCCGTCTGCATTTTTTGGTTTTTCTTTGTGATGGAAACTTCTTCGAAATATTCATTCATGTAAATCTAATATCATCGCCATTCCTCACTTTGAAGGTGCAAATCCTAGCCACACTTCACCCCCTGCTTGTACACTTTTGAGTGTAGGACAGGTGAATTTCCACTTCTTTTATATTTGTATTTTTTGTACTTCTTGAGGTCATTCTAAGTAATTTAATCATTTAACACATGTTTTACTAGATGATGTACATATTCCGATATATGTAACAAAAGGTTGGTCATTAATACAAGTGCAGTTCTCTGGAGGTGATTTGTCCTGTTGCTTGAGTTGAAAAGTATGTAACCTAGAAGTTTTTCATTGCAGGCATTTTCTGGAACCCAGAATGTTTCTAGTCTACAAAAGGATGAAGCATGGAGAGTTAATGTACGAATCCAAGGATGTGACCTTGACCATGGTTATCTTTGTGGCACCATGGAAGCTCTTAATGTTCCTATGGCAGACACACCAGTAAGCAACTTCATCTATTTCTATTTATGAGAAAATTTAAGAGTGTTTGGTAGAGTTTTAGAATTGTGATTTGAGAATAGAGTTGTATTTTGAGTTTGTGAGTTTTGGAATTATGATTTGAAAAGAGAAAATTTGTTTGGTTATGAGTTTTGAATTTTTGATGTGACATATGAAATGAGAAAAGTTGTTTGGTTATGAGTTTTGAAAATTTAATTAAAAAACTTATAACTCATAACCAAACACACAATTCAAATTCTATTGAAAATTTTACGCAAAACTCATAACCAAATTCTTTTTAAAATTCAATTTTAAAAAATAATTTGTCATTTTGGTTTAAAAAATATCAAAAGCAAATATAATTTTTTTTTTTTTCAAATAACAGGTGGCGATTGGCAATTACAAATAATAATAATAATAATAATAATAATAATAATAATAATAATAATAAATTTGTATTGTTCCGGTCAACTGGCCAGACATCTGGGAGGACGATCGGGTGGACAAAAAATTCAAAAAATGTCTAGTTACCAAACATGTTTTCTAAATGTGTTTTGAAATTGATTTGGAATCATGATTTGAAAACTCTTATCAAACATAGGATTAGATTGTAAGAGTAGAATTAGTTTTGGAAACTCTTACCAAACACAGCCTTATTTATTCCACTATGATTTCTCCATTTGTACTAGTTTAAAAAAGATATATAGCTTTTTCTTTTTCTTTTTTTGAACATAGATTCACTTTATAACTCTTGTCTTCTTTTCCTTCTTAAATATGTTCAAATTTCTGTTGTGTACTTTAGAATTATATCTATGATCAATAATGTACAGCATGTATACAGATTGTTGTGTTGGTTTTGGTTTTGGTTTTCTAGTTTTATCCTAGGTATTTTTAGTTTAGTTTTTCGTTTGTTTGTTTGCAAGTGAAACAAGAACACATCACTTGAAGGTAAAGCTAATAACATATGCTACTGAGTATAACTTTGTTTAGAGGGTATGCGAATTATAGTGCCTTTTGTCTGTTATTGTTGTGATCTAGTAATATAACAATCCAGTCAAATTTTTCACTATTTCCATTGTGAACTTCTTCAAGTGTTTCATTTCTTCTGTTGTATAAGTGGGTAATTCAGGTTGTAACCTTCTGGGAAGGCGAAATTGTTGATATGAAGAATTATACATTCTTCACTGGCAAATGGGAAGCAACGTATGTTCTTTTTCTTTTTCTTTAGCATGGAAATCATTTAATTTGTAACTAAGACAACAATCCATCATTGATGAGGTTGAATTCTGGCTCTATAGGGTGGGAAAGCCTTTTCCCCTCATGGTCGTTCTTTCAATTGTTAACAGGTCAGAAGTTGACACAAGGCACTGGACCAAGTTTCCATCTTTCTCTCCACTTCTGGTAAGCTATGTTACATGGGCTCAGGTACAAGTTTTAGGTGCATGTGCAGGTGCGGGTGCAAATCCAAATGTCATACTTCTATAAACCTAAATCTTAGGATATTAAGATATGTATCCAAAAGTAAGATATGGGTATGAGGATGCATGAACAATTATATACATTACATATTATATAATATTTTAAATATGAATGTTGTAAATTATGTAGAAATGTATTTGAAATTATGTAGCATTTAGAGAAAATATAGGTTAGAAATGTTTCCTTACTAACAAATATGTATTTCTTCTTCAAACATTGTAAAAAATAGAAGATCCTAGTGTCTGATTGGGTACGCGACACTGTACTTTGGGGGAAGTAGTAGTAGTCAATAGTACTACTACTACATAATACATATGCAAGTTTTGTGCCATCTTGATTGATTCTGCTCCTTTCAGAGCCAAGTGGAAGTCGATGGTGGCAGATCTCTGGATCTGAGTAACTATCCATACATATTCATGGTAACTTTTTTTCAATTCAATTGATTCAATAAACAATTTTACGTGGTTAAGTAATTACACACAATTATCTTTGACTTGACTGTGCAGCGATGGAAAGAGCAGTACTTTGTGAATGTTGGAACTGACTGTGGGTTAACTATAGCTGGTTTTTACTATGTTTGCTTCTCTTGTAGTGATGGCTCCATCAATGGCTTCTATTATGATCCTAATAGTAGGTAGGCCGCCACCTCCTTGTTTTTTTATCGCAATTCTTTTCCTTTTTCCATTAAATTTATGCGTCCTCATGAATCAGATCTTCTATTCCCTTTACTTCATGTGTTATAGTTCATGTTTTTTGTTTAAAAAGATCTTGTACATATTTCGAATGATTGTTGAAGATGTGTTCAAACTTATCTGCAGCCCATTTCAGAAACTCGAGCTGAAAATCACTAATGAAGGAAGATCAGGTTTCAGTTTTTCTTCATATGAGTTACAATAAATGGAGGTGAGTGGTTGTTTCCCGGGCTTGCACCAGATGGACTTGCGAGGCTATGAGCGTTCAATTGTGCATTGGTACCCATCTGGATTTTTAGTTGTAATTGTTTCCCTGTAAAGTTTGTGAAGTTGAGGTTTGTAGTTGCAGTATAAGCTTGTTAAGCTGTGGGAGCACATGGAGGCTGTAAACATAATAGGATACGAAATTAACCACCTATGTCATGCGCTTCCTTTTGAAGTGGAAAAGATTATATCCTCTGATCCGTTTGGCCTGTAAACTAGAATATTTATGCTGTGTTTGGTTGAGGGATTTGGAAAGGGAAAGGGAAAGGGAAAGGTGTGTAGAACTATGTGAAATATAAGCATGTTTTATTTACATTTCACTTGTTTTTTTCATTTTCCTTTCCAAATCTCTCTCCAAATTATCAAATCAAACACAGCATTAATGAAATTTCTATTAACAATTTATGAGGTAAAAATATTAAAATAAATTAAACAAACTAAAATTATCAAAAAGTTAAGAAATAATACTTTTAATTTTTAAATTTAAATCTTGTTAAAATGTCTTCTAAGAAGAGATGTTAAGATTCCCCTAAAAATAAAGTTAAACTTTAATCTCATGAAATGATAAATATATATGCACTATACACCGTACGTATTAACTTAATTTTAAATATGCATACATCACATCTATTCAGGATAGAAGTCTAGAAATATAAAAGTGAATCACAAAATCAAATATAATTATTTTAAAAAACAAAATAAAACAAAAAAAAAGGGATGTTATTTATTTTATTTTATTTTTTTTTTGTAAATTTCACAGTTATATTAGAAAGTTATATGATTAATTTTTGTATAAATAAAGTAACACTATCATTCAAAGTGGAAAGCAAATGCACCATTGATTTTGTATCATAGAGCTTGTTTGGGAAGAACATTCGGACTAAAATAGTCATATAAGATAAAATCAGTTATTTTAATTAAATATGGCAAAGTTTCACATTTATCAAATTTAAATAAATTTTGGAACCAGTTAAAAAATTTCAAATTAAAACCATACCTACCAGTGGTTACTGGAAAAAGGTATGCAGTGGAGGGCGGCCATTAAATACTAACGGAAAGAGAGGACTGTCCTCGTGTGCTCACGCAATTGGTTACTGCAATCAAAATTCCCCAAACCAAATATAAAAATAAAAAAAATAAAAAATAAAAATCTAAATTACAGCATTTACCCCATTTCATGAGGAAACGTGTCCACATTTTTTGTGTCACGCCCCTACAACCGCCTACAATCTCTTATTATCCTCTCCCCCGCCACCCACGCCACTCATTCTCCATTACTTCATCATCTCACATCATAACACAACCATCCCCTATAACTTCTCCTACCCCACTCTCTCTCCTCTATTTCCTTCCATTCTTCTTAGGAGTAGTTTACCAATAAAAAATAAGAAAAATAAAAAAATCGAAATTTAACCTTTATAATAAAATAATTTGTTTTAAAATAGGAAAATAAAATAAATTTTGAATTTATCAATTTAAATTTTAAAGTTTTGATTTGTTTTCAATCTAACATATCTGCCTATTTTTATTTTATAAAACTGATAGAAAAATGATATTTTAGTCATTCAATTCAATGAAAATGATATTTTAGATATTTTATATATACTTACATTGAGTTTAATGACTAATATATCATTTTTCCATCGGTTTTATCTAACAAAAATAAACTTATGGTTTAGGTTGAAAATAACTCAAGAATTATAATTCAAATTTACAAAATTAAAAATTTATTTTGGTTCAAAAGTCAAATTTTTTTTTTTGGGTAATTAGCCCTATATTTTATTACGGCAAGATAAGTCAGCAAATTACATAATTTAACAATTTCAAATAAAATTAAAACGATATTAAAATTACATATTCTAAAACAAAATAATTTTATTATAATTTGTCGTTGAAACCATTACAAAAGAATCCAAATATTGATCGTCTCTCTATATATTTATTTTATCATATAAAACACACCACTTGCTTGGTTGAAATTTTATCACGAAATTTCAGTTTTAAAAAAAGAAAATTTAAAATAACAATATAATTTTTTCAAATATTAGATTTCCCTATTAGTTACTTCTTAGTTTGAAGAACAAAAAAATAAAATTAACAAATCAGAAACAGCAGATTCAGTTACCCAAACCAGATGCTAACAAAATATATCTAAGCAATCTGTACTATTTATCGGTACTAATTTTGGATTAGGTTTTTCTCAAATTTATAATCTAAACTTGACTATTATGTTAGGGCCTGTGAAGCCCACCATGAGTCTTATTTTGATAATTTGAACCGTTTATTTTGTAAAATGTTCCGTGTATATCATTCATAACAAAAAATTAAGTCTATCGAATTAGTGTTTTCATTTTATTGCCTTTGTTTATAAAAAAATGAATGACAAGTACATTTTAAAAAATAGACCATTCATTATTTTTAGAGACAAATGAGATAAAATGAATATGTTATAATTATCGGATTCATCTAATTTTTTCATGAATAATATATATGTAAAATTTTATAAAATGAACTGTTTGAATTATCAAACTGAGATCTATAACAGACTCCACAAGCCCTAACATAACGGTTAAGTTCAATTTGAACTTGAGGAATCCTAATCCTATATAAATTACATAATTCATTTGGTGTGAACTTATATCACATTTTTTCAAACTAAATTTGTCTAAGTGTCGAAGTTTCTGATAGGGCTGAGTAAGGAATCCGTGAAATCCGTAATCCGATCCAGTCCAGTCCAATCCAGGAGGTTTGGATTGGTTTTTTGAATCCGTGGTTCGGTTCCGGATTGAAAAATTAAAAATCCGTAGTTCACGGATTGGTTCTGGATTGAACCCCATGGTTCCGGATTGGAACCGATCCGGACCGTATACAAATAGTCTATATTTTTATTATACACCATTTTCCATAGTACCTTCTCTTAATTCATATAAAACTTAAATCAAATATAAACTCGCATAGTATCTTCTTTTATTACTTTTGTTTACTAGTTTTTAGCGTTAATTTGTAATGTTGCTATTGGAACTGATCCGGGCCATATACAAATAGTCTATATTTTTATTATACACTCTCCTCCATAATATCTTATCTTATTTCATATAAAACTTAAATCAAACCTAAACTCGCATAGTATTTTCTTTTATTACTTTTGTTTGCTAGTTTTTGGCATTAATTTGTAATGGTCTAAATACTTATGGTGGAACCAGTTTTCTTATGATTGTTTAAATTCTAGAACAATATGTCGCTATTATGAAAAGACATGTTGCTATTGTAAAACTAATATGGTGTTATATTTATATTTTTATGAAATTAAAGTGTTATATATATTTTTTTGTTATTTAATTATGTAAATCCGTGATCTTAAACCGATCCAATCCGTGTTTAAATGAATTGATTCGGATTGGTTTTACGATTTAAACTGATTAGATTGGTTCTAATTTTCTAGGAACCGTAGATAACGGATTGGCCTTGGTTTTACCCCAATCCGGTTCAATCCGAACCATGCTCAACCCTAGTTTCTGATTCCAAAATTTAATTTTGGGTAATTTACATCTAAGAGGGAACACTAAAAATTATTTACATATTCATGACAAAGTTTATAATTTAACTTTTTAATATTTGTAAAGTTTATCATTAATTTAAAAATAATTTTCTCAATGTCAACTGATTTGAAATTACCCCTTTAATTTTTCAATTTTTTTTCTTCTTCATATACATTCAAATATTTTTTTGAAATAACAGTTATTAATTGTCTTACGTTTCTGTACAGCTCAACTTCCAATATATATAGACATATAACACGTCCATTTCCTGCTTGTAGAGTAGCAAGTACAATTGATATGAAAAACAAGCCATGGTGATAAAAAAGAAACAACTTACAGTACAGTCTAAATTATAACCTGATATGATGATTTCTCTTGTACCCATATCTATCAATGCATCCTGTTGAATTCTTCAGATTATATACATAATATTCACCTATACATGCTGTAACAGTGAAGTCGAGAGAGAAATCTTTAAACTATGGATAGCCTGCTCTGTGATGAAGTCTGGCTTACCACGAGTCCTACTACGACGATCCTTAATCATGACTATGGTGGTTCCTTTTACACGACTAAGGAAGATTCCCAACAAGCTTTTGATATTTGCCTCCAAAAGGAGATTGGTTACATGCCTGAATCCCAGTACCAAGATCATCTTCAATCCTCTGGTTTGATTTTAGCTAGGTTCAGAGCAATGCAGTGGCTTCTAAAGGTTTGTTTCTCCTCCTACTCATAAAAACCTGTTTCTTCATCTTAATAATCATCATATATAGATATATGTATTTTTTGATGTATAACTCTCTCTCTCTCTCTCTCTCTCTCTCTCTCTGTGTGTGTGTGGTAGTCTCAAAGGCGGTTGAATCTGTCATGCCAAACTGTTTTCAATGCTGCAAATTACTTTGATCGATTCCTCTCTATGAACCAATGCAAAGTAAGTACTTCTTTCGTCTCACCATCTTTCAGTTTTTGTTTTGTTTTGTTTTATTTTATTTTTTTTGATCATGTTTCTACAATCTTTGCATTTATTATAATATTTTCATTATTATCAATATAATTTATTTTTTTTGCATATAAAATAAAATAAAGATTTTAACTTTAAAATTGTATATTCTGATCTCTCAATATAAAAAACTGTACAAATACTTTTTTTTTTTTTTTTTTTTTTTTTTTTGTTAAATTAAAAGTGATTTAATTTTATAGTTGAAATATCCAAAAATGAATGATTTTATAGCTGAGCAAGTGTCTACGATTAACCATTTTGTCTTTCCTTTCCAATTTATATTCATAATTTGGTCTTCTTTTTTTTTTTTTTAATACGACGAAAATCAATAGTTAGTTGTTAAATTAATACTTAGAGGGAAGTTGAACTCTTACCATCTCCTGGTAAACATTTAAGTTTTGTCTTCCATTTCACTCCTAAAAGTAGAACTTAATAGCTACTTATAATTCACTAAATATCGCTTAACTAAACTAATCTATAGAATCGTACTTTTGACCCCCTCAAGCCCCAGTTATAAATTTTTTTATAGAAATACACATTTTTGGCGGGTTGAAGAATATGTGATTTTTTATACACATTTTTGGCGGGTTGAAGAATATGTGATTTTTTAGTAGAATATTCCAATGTAAAATTTTATAATTTTATAATTGATGGAGGTCAAGTGATATAGTTGAGAGGCCATTTAAATATTATTATTATTAATATTTTTTCCTCTTTCTCTTCTCTACTTTCCCTTCCGCCTACCAATGCTATTACTATTTAATTAAGAGTTTCTTTCTTACTTTAAATTATATATATATATATATATATGAAGGGGTGGAAATATTGGATGGTTGAATTACTGGCCATTGCATGCTTATCAGTTGCCTACAAGTTTGGCGAGACAACCCATCTTCCTTTGCATGAAATTCAGGTGACTATTCATTATTCTCCTCCTTCATGTTATTATTAATTTTTAATTTTGGAAACTGTTAATGAATTCACAGTTGTTATGGTGATTGCAGATGGAAGATCTTGACCATTCATTTCAATCGAGCCTGATCCAACGGATGGAATTGACACTATTGAAAACCCTAGGATGGCGACTTGGCTCGGTAACAACTTATTCATACATAGAACTGTTGATGTGGAATTTTGATTCCCTCACTTCTTTCCTGCTTGGAGAATTAACTACCAGAGTCACTGATCTACTTCTGAGCAACCTTTCTGGTAATATGAATTCCTATAATGTCTATTCTATATTATAAAAGAGACATCGCACTTAACCTGAACATGAAAATGAACTCCTTTAGTTAATTCAACAAAGACCACGCTCTTGTGAAAACTATAGACAATTTCAATCGTGTCCCTAACAATGAAAAGTACAAAATTTATGATAATTTTTTTTAAAAATTCAATAAATGCTAAAAAAAATTACAAAACTTGAATACATATTTTTATTTTGTATTTATTGAATTGTTTAAAGATTTATTTATAAATATTTTAATTTTTAAGGAAATTTAGATTATGTACATTTAAAAAATTAAAAAGAGAGCTTTAACTAAAAATATTAACAAAATACAAATTAAAATTTTAAAAATTAATTTTATGGGTGCCCTATTCCCCAGTCCCCACCAACTTTCCAATGTTTTTGGTTGTATTTTTTAATTTTTTATTTTATTTTGGGTGCATTAACGTTTTTGGTTGTGCTTGCATGTATGTAGTACATTTACCCGATTAGTCTAACTGGATAACCCTAGTTGTTTTGAATGCTGATACATGCATTGCAATTTGCACACAATTTTGAGAGAGAGAAAAGAAAGGCATCAAGCAACCATTGTAGTAAAAAAAAAAAAAAAAATAGAGTAACAATAACAATCAAAATTGTAATCTTTTCTGTTGAAAAATTTACCAATGAACATGTTTTTATTTCATAATTAAATTCATTGGAGTTAAAAAATAATTTTTGGTGAATTTTGTTTAATTTTTAAATATGATCTAATTTTTTTTTTTGGTCGGCAAAGAAAAATTTCATTAAATATGATCTAATTTATTGACTGATTTTTATACTATTTTTTAGTTTCTATGAAAAAGGTTTAATTGTTATTAATCATAATTCATGAACATAAATTCATATAATACAAGTAAAAACAATCACTCTATTTGGTTTTAGTTTTCAAAATTTATTTTTCAGAAAGCTCTACTTTTTCATTTTCCTTTTTTTTTTCACTGAATTTTTTTTATATTTTAAACATTTTTTAAAAATTTTTAGACACATCTAACATTTTTTTTGAACGGCAAAAAGGAAACTTTATTGATGAATTATATGAAAATTTACATCAATAAAGAGGAGTTTGAAGCTAAAACAAGCTCCAACCTTCTAATTAGTGAGAAACCAACGAGCAAAACAAACAAAGCAAAAACACCAGAAAAACCAGAAAAACAAACAGAGCAAAAAAAGTTTATGTTAGACACATCTAACATAAATACACTTGAAAAGTATAATAGTTGTGAAATTTTTTTAAAAAAATTCACTAAATACCAAAAATACAAAACAAATATATAAAAATTCAATACATTTTTTGTATTTTTGTGTACTTATTAATTTTTACAAATAGTTTTTCACAAATATTTTACTATTTAGATATATCTAAGTAAGATGCATCTAAAAAGGTAAAAAAATTTGTTTAAAATTTTAAAAATATTCACTAAAAATAAAAATAAAAAATATAAAAAATAAAAAATTTAATTTTAAAAAAATTGAATTCAGAAAACTAAAACCAAATTGAATAGTATTTCCAGCATTTGTTCAGCAAATTTAACCTAAAACACGATTTACATTTACAAGAATCCACTGAAAAAAATATATCTAATTTTATCTAACGTTTGCAAATCAAATCTTGTAGATCTCGAAGATTGAAAAATCGAATGACGTAGATCTAAGATTTTCACCCAAAGTCTATTGTATACATGTAATTTTTGGGTGAGATTTGAGGACCCAAAATATCAACCAAAAAAAAAAAGGTAAATTATAAATACACCCCTGAGGTTTGATTAAAATATAAATCGCTACATTCCACTCCTGAAGTTTCTAATTTCATAACAAATTTTATTAATAAATCATCAAATCAATTAACAGTTTTTAATGATATTACAAATATGTTTTAATTAATAATTTAGGTGATTTTATTATCCTATAGGAGAGTAATTATGAATTTTTTTTAATTAATTTTGTTAAATAAAATTTTTTAATAAGAGGGTATTTGTAATTTTTCAAACTATAGGAAGCAATTTTTTAAACAAACTTCAGGAGGTGTATTTGTAATTTACCAAAAAAAAAACATTATAGTCAAATTTTTTTAACACTCAATTATTACGAGATGTTTTCATTCAAACTGCAAAATCGACAGTGTCATGTGATAACTAAAAAAAAATTAAAAAAATCATATGGTAACAAAATTTCATGTGGGTAGGGTGGCAATCACTTTTTGTAACACTAACGCTGTATTTGGTTGGGGGATTTGGGGAGGGATTTGGAAAGGAAAATGGAAAAAGTAGGTGAAATGTGAATAAAATATGTATATATTTCACATAATTTCACACACCTTTTCCCTTTCTCTTTCCAAATCCCTGCTCAAATTCCCCAACCAAACACACCATAAAAGAAATGCAAAATAATAGTTTTTAAGGATTCTATAATCCCATCACAATTCATTGGTTCGAGTTGAAAATCATGATTTTGCTTCCATTCTTGAAACAATACTATAACAATCAAATTGTACAGATTCTAAATTCGTGGAGTTCCGGCCATGTGTTGTTGCCATTTCTGCTCTAAGATGTGTTATCCAGGACTCACTTCCATCACCAACATATAATGCCCACCTTGACTATATCACCAGACTCATTCCTGAAGATCAAAAGGTAAAAGCCTATTTGGTTATGTTTTCATTTTATGAAAAAAAGCAAAAAAAAATTCATTGTTTTTGAAAGCAGGTTTTGAGGGAGAAAAAAAAAATAAAAAAGATGTCGAAAACAACCCACTATATAGCAAACATGACAGTTGTTTTCAAAAATTATTTTTGCACAAAATTGAAAACAATGCGCGTTTTTTAAAACACACACATGCGCACACAAAAAACAAAAATTATTTTTTGTGTTTGTTCATTTTGTAAAGTTCAAAAGCAAATTGTTAAAAACTCAACCCTATTCAATTGTTGACACTAACTTATCTCAAACGTAAACTATCATAGAGAGAGAGTGATAATTTTATTATTTATATTGTTATTTTTGGGGGGTACAAAAATAATATTTTGGTGTTTCCTAAAAAGTGGGTCGGTTTTGGAAAAAAAATTTGAAAATAAAAGTAGAAGCAAAAAAACAAAAACACACAATGAAACACGGTTGGTTGTTGTTTGAATCCGATGCATAGATATATCTAAGTAAGATGCATCTAAAAAGGTAAAAAAATTTGTTTAAAATTTTAAAAATATTCACTAAAAATAAAAATAAAAAATATGAAAAATAAAAATTTAATTTTTAAAAAATTAAATTCAAAAAACTAAAACCAAATTGAATAGTATTTCCAGCATTTGTTCAACAAATTTAACCTAAAACAAGATTTACATTTACAAGAATCCACTGAAAAAAATATATCTAATTTTATCTAACGTTTGCAAATCAAATCTTGTAGATCTCGAAGACTGAAAAATCGAATGATGTGGATCTAACATTTTCACCCAAAGTCTATTGTATACATGTAATTTTTGGGTGAGATTTGAGGACCTAAAATATCAACCAAAAAAAAAAAAGTAAATTATAAATACACCCCTGAGGTTTGATTAAAATATAAATCGCTACATTCCACCACTGAAGTTTCTAATTTCATAACAAATTGATTAATAAATCATCAAATCAATTAACAGTTTTTAATGATATTACAAATATGTTTTAATTAATAATTTAGGTGATTTTATTATTCTATAGGAGAGTAATTATGAATTTCTTTTTTTTAATTAATTTTGTTAAATAAAATTTTTTAATAAAGGGGTATTTGTAATTTTTCAAACTATAGGAGGTAATTTTTTAAACAAACTTCAGGAGGTGTATTTGTAATTTACCAAAAAAAAAAAAACATTATAGTAAAATGTGTTTAAAACTCAATTATTACGAGATGTTTTCATTCAAACTGCAAAATCGACAGTGTCATGTGATAACTTAAAAAAAATTAAAAAAATCATATGGTAACAAAATTTCATGTGGGTAGGGTGGCAATCACTTTTGTAACACTAAAAGAAATGCAAAACAATAGTTTTTAAGGATTCTATAATCCCATCACAATTCATTGGTTCGAGTTGAAAATCATGATTTTGCTTCCATTCTTGAAACAATACTATAACAATCAAATTGTACAGATTCTAAATTCGTGGAGTTCCGGCCATGTGTTGTTGCCATTTCTGCTCTAAGATGTGTTATCCAGGACTCACTTCCATCACCAACATATAATGCCCACCTTGACTATATCACCAGACTCATTCCTGAAGATCAAAAGGTAAAAGCCTATTTGGTTATGTTTTCATTTTATGAAAAAAAGGAAAAAAAATTCGTTGTTTTTGAAAGCAGGTTTTGAGGGAGAAAAAAAAATTAAAAAAGATGTCAAAAACAACCCACTATATAGCAAACATGACAGTTGTTTTCAAAAATTATTTTTGCACAAAATTGAAAACAATGCGCGTTTTTTAAAACACACACATGCGCACACAAAAAACAAAAATTATTTTTTGTGTTTGTTCATTTTGTAAAGTTCAAAAGCAAATTGTTAAAAACTCAACCCTATTCAATTGTTGACACTAACTTATCTCAAACGTAAACTATCATAGAGAGAGAGTGATAATTTTATTATTTATATTGTTATTTTTGGGGGGTACAAAAATAATATTTTGGTGTTTCCTAAAAAGTGGGTCGGTTTTGGAAAAAAAATTTGAAAATAAAAGTAGAAGCAAAAAAACAAAAACACACAATGAAACACGGTTGGTTGTTGATTGAATCCGATGCAGCATATACACTTTCTTGCTAATATGAAAATATTTTTTTTACTACTATATAGGATGATCTAATCAAGTGCCACAAGATCATGGAAGAGAAAATGGTTTGGCCTTCAAGTCCAGTAACTGTGTTAAAAATGGAATACAATTGGCAAGTTGATTTGTCTCTCTTTAATAAGATGCACGGTTTTAACATCAATCAGCTCAAATCAAGCAAAATGAAGAGGAAGAGGGAAGAATGAGGGAAAGTAGCATTGCATATATATATAGCTATATATATATCACTATCTTGGCTGTAATCAAATTATAATACATACCAGACTTTGGTTTATTGCACTATTAAATTAATAATGATCCATGTAACTGGTGTGAAACATTCAATTACATTAATGAAGTTTCAACTGTATTAAAAAAAAAGATTGAAATTGTCACAAGGTTTTCAATATCCGATGGACGAATTACACTAACAGTCCCTATAGTTTGGTGTTCGTGTCACTTTGGTCATTAACTTTTCAATTATAACACATTTGACCTTAAATTTTGAATCTTGTACTAAATAAGGACAATTGAAGATAACATTGCTCAATTTCATGCGCGAAGTCGACAATTTGACAAAATATAAACTAATTTGATAAAAATAAATGTCAAAAAAATATTTTTGCATTTTAAAAAATTATTTTTACTACCAAAGATAAAATTATGTAAAATTGATAAATCTTTTATTTATTTATTTATTTTACCAAATTAATTTTTATTATGTGTTTAAATGATGATTATGTAATGTGTGGTTCTTAAGCTTTTAATGTGTAATTAGTATATTTAATACATGAAATATTTTTAGTTTTAGATTTTTTGATTTAATGGATTGATTTAATAATGATATTAAAATTGTCATCATATTTGACTTTTAAAAAAATAAAAACTATTTTAATGAAAATGAAAATAACCACTCAATACATTATCATCATCCAAACACATAATAAAAATTAATTTTCTAAAATAAATAAATGCGTAAAGATTTATCAATTTTACATAATTTTATTTTTGGTAGGTAAAAATAATTTTAAAAAAATCAAAAATATTTTTTTGACATATATTTTTGTCAAATTAGTTTATATTTATCAAATTGATGATTTTACCTTTGAAATTATTAATAGTATCTTTAATTGTCCTTATTTGAAACAAGATTCAAAATTTAAGGTTAAATGTGTCATAATTAAAAAAGTTAAGGAGCAAAATAATACAAGTCTCAAATTATATGCACTTTTACGCATATATGATTGGTTAGATGGACAATATATTTTTCACACTTGGATTTTTTAAAAATGGTGCAGTGGAATGAGAATCTTAATTTAATTCTCTTTTATTTTGTTATTTGGGTGCAACTAGAAATACTGATTTCTAGTTTGATACCACGCTAATAAGTTTATGATAATTTTAAATTTATATTTAAAATTTATAAATTATGAGATAGATTATTATAATTTTAAATTTATATTGTGTTGATTTTAAATTTAAATTAATATATTACTTTTTATATTTAGTGACAGTTTAAATTTTAATAAAATAAAAATTTAAAAGATTTAATTAATTAATTTTTATCTAAATTGATTGGTCTTTTGACCTACCTAATTAAGCTAAATCGTTTTTGGTTTGAATGATTTGCTAGTATAACCATGATTTTAGCAGTTTTACATGCTACGATGATTCTTTTTTACTCATTAAGTTTTTAATTTTTTTTAATTATTTCCCTTTCAAAAACCAATATGATAATTTTTTAAATTCATATATTTTTATTCCAAAATAGTGAAGTATTAGAATTATGTCATTTTTTTTTATAACAAAGGATAATTTTAATTATTAATTGTCAATACAACAATTTTAATCTATCTATACTATATATTATAGTAAAAGAACATTTGAAAAAAAAAACCCTTAAACTTATATACAAAATTTTATTTATGAGAGACAAAATATAAAAAAATTAAATACAATTTTCATATCTTTAATAAAAATCATATTATTTTATTCCGTACATAGCATAGGTGATATGTTAGTAAGTAGGAATCTCATTGGCACAACGTTATGAGAATCTCATGATTCTTAAGAAATGTGATGGGTAGATCTACAATATTTAAAATAAAAATGCCATTTTTACTATTTTTATTTAAGAAAAGATTATGGTACACACTCTTCAAAGGATGTGTATTATATGCACCTTTTTACTATAGAGAAAAATGATATAATTTCCAACTTTTTGAGTCATAACTATAATAAAAATTAAAAAAAAGGTCATAATCCAATACAAAAAAGTCATAACCAAAATCTTAAAATAATGTCATAACTAAAAAATAAATAGGTTATAACTAAAAAAAGAAAACGACATGACATAACTAAAAGTATATATAATATATATATATATATATATATTTTTTGAAGCAGCCAAGAAAAGGAAAATTATTAATGTAGAAAAAGCAGAGAACATAAAGAAAAACAGAAGAGAGACAAAGAGCACAGTTGGTAAGGCACCAACGTAGAAGGAAGCCAAAAGCAGATAACACCCCTAACACATTACAAACCAACCCATAACGGATGCAACCAGGCCTGCACAACAGGCCATAGCAGACTCCACAATAGCAGCAGCAAACACCAGCACTGATCAAGATCAACCAACAGCAGCAGCAGGACATAGCAGACTCCACATTACAAACCAACCCATTATACTGATCAAGATCAAACACCAGAAAATCACCACCAGCACTCCAACACAAATCCAGAACAGTGATAGCAGGCAGAAAGTAGCCCCCTCAGCCCATGAAAAACCCCAGCTGCAATAAAACCAACAAGCCCAGAGAACCAAACAACTAGCCAGAAAAAGGGATGGGAACATTACAAACTCCTCCCACTGATGCAGCATCTCACTTGCCTAAGATTCACTAGAAAATCCTGTACTGAGAAGTGGTGCTTAGGGAACCTTGGTTTTAGCCATAAAGCAATTCTCACCTTAATCACTTCACACAGCTCCTCCAAGTTTGGAACAGATGCATTAAACACTATATCATTTCTTTGTTGCCAGAGAGACCAAATCACAACCAAAGGCACTCCTTTCCAAATCTGCCTCTCTTGACTCCTAATACATTGTCCTTCCCACCATAGTAAAACTCCATCAACTGAATGAGGGAGTGCCCCTACAACATCCCACCACAACAGCATTGCAAACCACACCTTCCAAGCAAAAGGACAGGAGATCAACACATGATTCACAGTTTCGAAATCACCAGTGCAGAAAACACACAGTGCTGAAGCAGAACTGTTAAGAGCACCAATTCTTTGTAGGTAATCTGCAGTCTTAACTCTATTTCTCCAAGCTAACCAGGTAAAAAATTGAACTTTTGGTGGCAAATAGGGAATCCACACTAATTTAGTAGACCTTAATATAGGGCCTGCTGCAGCCAGCAACCCTGTATAAGCAGAGCAGACAGAGGATACCCCAGATGATGTTGCATTCCATATTGGACAATCTGATTGATCTGGAACAGGACTAGGTGCTGCAGCCAGGAAGATTCTGAGTCTGGAAACCTCACAAACCTCCCACTCATACAACCTCCTTCTGAACTGACACACCCAATTTCCTCCAGCAATCTTTTGGTTATGCATTGATCTAAGAGACTCTTCTTTATTCACCACCAACCCATACAGACCTGGAAAATCCTCTCTAAGACTTTTCCTA